TTTTATTTAATCGAGTAGCTGCTTTTAAATTCTTTCGTATTAAAGTAAGATTTACATTAAGATTGGTCACGAATCATCGATCATTTCCAAAGATTCATCAATCATTCATCATTTAACAAATTCATTTAACAAACGAACAAAAGTTCGCTCAAATTTCTTGAATTTAGAAGCAACCCATTCAGCAATTCCAGTTTCAAGAGTCGTGCAGCAATTCCGCATCATTCACGAGAAGGAAAAAAAAGTGTTTTTCGACGCCCCTGATATATGCAAGGAGTGTGTTGTGGCTTCCTTCAGGGTCTTCACTTTTTGCCGCAGCTTTTGGTAGATGGTTGCGGGCAGGCTCTTGGCCACGTCGGCGACCCGGCCAAGTCGTGGAGGGTTGCCGGATTAGGGCTTCCCGTTCCACGAATTCCTGGTTCCGATTTCTCTCGGCTTCAAGGGAGAAGTCTTCGCCTCTCCCAGAAGAAAATATTTTCCGTCTTCTCTCGGTCGCTCGTTGCTGCAGTGTCCGTTCGGTTTTGCTCCGTCTCCGAAACCTGTCGATAAAAAGAGTCCAACTCCATCGAAGTCACGACATGACGTTAAAAAAATCCAATAACTTTGATCGATTCTGTATATACCAATTAGGGCCGCCAAATTTAATCACTGGAGCTCGAGAACCGACCGACCTTCTTAGGTGATCCATCGGTCTCCCCGAAGAAAGCGGAACGCCATGGCCTTCGGAACGGCCTCCACGGGCCTCCACGGGCCTCGCGAAGAGACACACCCCGGCCTCGCGAGCCACGTCGTGGAATTGTTCCTCCGTGATGCAGTTCCCGCCGCTCGAGAAGGACGAGGAGTTGCTGGAGGACGCATCCCTTGGACGTTGCAGCACCGGAAGCGGGAACCAGCCGAGACATTCTTCCCGCTGCCTTCCTTCTCCACCGACCTTCGAGGGGGACTGGGCGCCGGATGAGGACGATGGAGGTTCCTAAATCAGGATGCTGGAGTGAAAATTTGTCAACGAAGGCGAGAGGAAGTGTCGGTCGCGGTCACTCATCAGAAGATGAGCGATCCTTCGCTTGGTGCTCGCTTCTCGTTAAGCTTGGATATTTAAGGAGAGCAGTTAATCGTGGGGGGGGGAAAATACGCTTTAGATTGTCGGAATGGAAATTCCCAGTTCGAAGCAGCGATTGACATGCTGATGGAGGTTCTCGGAGAAGTGGTACTAGTATAAAATGTAGGGCTGTCGATACGATGAGATCGATTGACCAATTAATCGATTATTTTATTACTTGATTTTAAAAAAAAGTCTAAATTGATGGAATTTAATGGACAACCCAATCTCTCCCCGATTGCCTCTTTTTCACTTAAAATCTGAATGCGTTCTTTCTCGAATTTGCGAAACGACCGAAAGCGAATGCTTTATCAAAGTAATGAAATGTAATGATGACTAATAGATGGTAGTCGTTTTTGCACCGCTTAGTCATCTTCGATATGCATCCCGTGTCTTTCCGCCCGTCGGGCCGAGGCACGAGGCGGCAGAGGCCGAGCGACGGAAAAGCGACTGGATGCGAACGGGGAAAAAAGAAAGTCCTCGGTGAAGACGCTGCGAGGGAAGGCGCAGAGGCAAATATGGGATTCGGGCCTCCTGCGGCCCGAAGGAGGACGAAGACCGCGAGAGACGGCGAACGTCTGCGGGGAGAAGACCCCGGAAATCCCCAGCCAGCGGGGGAATACTCTAACGCGATCGAGTGTCGCTCTACGCTTCTAATCGCATCGGTTCCATTTTTTGTTGCCGGTATGGGTCCACCGATCGGCAAAAGACCTCAGTGCACATTTCTGCTCGCGTTTCAGCATTCATCTGGCCGATTTGTAATCACTCCCTCTCTCCGATCGAAATCTTTCACACGTAGGTTGAATCGGCTCGATCGACCGGCTTGTCGAATTTTATCGACAGACCTACTTAAAACGAATCGATTTGGATATAGTCCACTCTATGAGAGAAAATTTCTCGATAACTTCTTGCAAATTCAGGCTTGCAGCTGCAATCCTCCTGAGCAAATGTGGCATTGATCTCATGACTCTGAAAATGCCGCATCACGTTCATTAATGTTTGCTCTCGAAGATCCCTGGTATTCGAAACTGCAACATCATCAACGGCACGAAGCGAGCGGTGTTCCCAGACACGCCTGTTCCTTTCGACCATGAAGTGAGTGCGAGCGATCCAGAACTCCCGCATTCCAGCCCACGATCGATGAAGAATCTTTTTCCGAAATACAATATTTAGTTCCATTAAAGAGCCGCAAAATTGCGCATAGTTGCGCATGCGCAATTTTTTTTCCCCGCGTTTCTTCCAGCCATGAATACACAGCATTTGAACGCACGGGAGATAAGGCCGTTGAGGAAACGAGGCATCTCCACTTGCGACACCTAGCGGGGTAAGTTGAAAGGTTGGCGTTCCGCATCCGTCTGAGAGATGTCTCTGCCAGAGCACGTCGGGCCATCTCCTTCCCGTCAGGTCGGCGTTAATCCGGTTTTTCGTGGTCGATGCAGGGCCGTATCTAGGATTTCATTTCGGGGGGGGGGGGGGGGGGGGGGGGGGGGGGGGGGGGGGTTCTCGCGGTCTTCGTCCTCCTTCGGGCCGCAGGAGGCCCGAATCCCATATTTGCCTCTGCGCCTTCCCTCGCAGCGTCTTCACCGACGAATAGCGGTATGGCAAAAATTTTAGGAAGAAATTTCGGGGGGGGGGTGTTTGAACCCCTTAACCCCCCCCCCTAAATACGGTCTTGGGTCGATGTCAATGGACATTTCATGCATCCATTTTCTCGTGGTGGGTGCTACGTTGTCTACATTTTCTGCGGGTACTTTGCTCCGTTTTCATGTAATTTAACGCAATTTGTATACTCCTTGCAAGAACACGGCAAATAACCAATTTCTTGTTAGTGCCTCATTAGACATTCCTATCACTTGGCATACGTAGGGGAGATGTCATGACGACAAAAAATGTGGGAAATCGCCTTTGACATTAACAATTTGCAGGATGTCAGGAAGAATGCAATACTAGATGTGGAACTATGAACTTCGCAGAAGTTTGCAAAACGCCCAGCATTTGCAGCTAAAATGAGAGTCACTGTAAAGGAAAAATCCATGAATGCGACAGCGCGGGAAGCGGCGAGGCCCCACTCCCGACCTCCACTCCGCGCCACGCATCGCACGCGACTGTCGACGGCAGCTGGATCGTAACCCCTTCCCCACCCCCCTCCCCCCCCCCCCCCCCGTTGCGTTGATGACGTCAGCGGCGCGTCATCCCGGTGTCCTTCAGGAACGCGAGCGAGATCGACGTCGTTAGCGTCTTGCCATTCTCTCTGGACGGACGGGATGGCTCGTGCGTGGTTCTCGGACCTATAATCATTTCATTCTTTTCGCTAGATTTTTCATCGAATGCTTAGTCCATATTTGTTATTATTATTAATCGTTAAGTTCGCTTGGATGGCGAAATTTCGGACAGCTCCAGGACTATTTCTGCCGTGCGGAGGCCATTAACGTGTACTTCAGCAAATTTCAGCAATCCCAGGGCGATTTTAGCTATCGCATGGGGAATTATCGGAAATGCCCTTTCATAGTAAAATAATTTATACTTCTATTATTTAAGTGCTATAAAACAATTTTAAATTAAAAATAAGGGACTTGAATTTATCAATACAATAGGGCTACAAGTCTCTAAACGTGTTTAAATTGAAGTCGCTCGCGCTTGCGTAGAACCGTGTGAAGTTCCTGCGCAACTCCACAGTTTCACGGCAGAGGAGAAAACACGATGGATGCTTGAACTGGCACCCTCCTCCGAGATTTCAATCACAGGAATGTCTATGGCTCCCTGTGAATTTCAAATGGGAAGCAAATGTTTATGAGACGCTACGTTAGATGTCAGGAAAAGCTGGACAAGTAACACCTGCGGCCCGCCCGACGCCTCTACAGCCTACCGCATTGCGGTGCATTCTTCCACAAACAGCCCGCGGTCCACTTCGCTCCCCATCATTTCATACCGCAATGCGGTGAAGACGTTCCCAACCGTCACGCGGTTTGCACTGCAGCAACATCCATTGGTACCGCAAAGCGGACATCGTGTCCGCAATCGTCCCGCAGTTCCATTGATCCCCCTCGACCAATGGCATCACAGGCGTCGCTTCGGCCATGGTGCTCTGACGCAGTGCTGACCTACGTTCTCCGCCGACATTTCCCAATTATTGTGGATCGTTCAGCTTAAATACTAAAGAACCCCATTCCCCCCTCTCGCTAAACCCTACTAAATTCGAAATTGCGTGGTATGCAACACTCAAGGTCTGCACATTCTAGCGATTTTGCGACGACTCCGGAGACAGGCTACAATATGTGCATGTGAGTCTTGTGAACTTGGCGGATATGGCGCTCGCGGGCGGGGAAGTTACGATGCTCAAATAAACCGGGGTTCTATAATTATTTTTTTTCAAGTCGAAAGTTTAGCCTATCATGGGCGAGGACTATGCGATTCTTCGAAATTTCTGCTCAGGTTAAGGAACATGGGACGAGAAATGGTCTAACCATTTGCATATTGCTTGACTAGGCCTAGGCCTATGATTATAATATTCGTTGGTATAGCATTTATGATTACTAATTTCAAAATATGAACCATGCCAGACCAATACAGGTATGTCATAGGCTTGTTTTCTGCAGCGTGACCTTGAATAAGCTTCATCCTTCAATCCTGGACCTATTATTTCATTGCTGGAGCAGCAACTCAATAAGAAAGTTTGATATTTCAATTACACATTTTGTTTTGTGAAACTTGTGGAAATCTAGACTGAATAGGCCTAGTAGTGTAAAGATAAGAAAAACACGAATTAAGGTGCCTGTTATATGAAGCACGTATATGTTTCATGGTGTGATGATGATTAGGGCTTTCTTATAGATGAAAGATGCAAATGCATTTCCATGGAAATAAAGAGGATGTGCTAAAATTGTTATGTGCATCTAACAATTCCCTTTCAGATGCATTTATGCAAACCGTGCTCCAGTCACAGTTACCAGTTGTTTTGTTATCTGCTGTGTCATCTCACGAGGACAGAAGTTCACGTCGTTAATTAGTGGTTACCTTTCTCGTGCCTACCCCGGCGACATGGACAGAAAGAAGCCGGGGCGAGAGGAAGACTCGACGCAGAGCATGGACGTGTCGAGTTCGGAGGGCCGGCGTGTGACGCGTCGCCGGGCGCGTGCCGAGGCGGACGAAGTCACCGTGAGCGTCGTCTTGGACGACCTCGGGAAGCTCAACCCGGACAGCACCAGTTCCATTCCCGAGGACGACAAGGTGGCACCCATCGGAGATGTCGAGAGGCAGCTTGCCAATCTCTTTGGCATTGAGTACACTGAAGAGGTGACATTGCTTCTTCAATTTTTTGCTTATATTGTGGAGTATGTGATTTGCAGTTAAACAAACTGATCAGGTTAAATGTCAGTGAATTCTTCCAAAGGTAATTTCATTCATGTTATGCAAGTCATGATGCAGTAAAAGTATTGACGGCTAAATACAAGATATCTCACTCTGCTTTGAACAATACCACACTATTGCTTATTTCCAACTTTGCATGATGGAGTGCTGGATATTACTAATTGCTTTCAAGTTTTTTGGAATTTCTGTCACTGAGTAAAACATATGAAAGATTGGGAAAATTATTTTTTTTTCAAATTTTGACTTTTCTTCAAATTTCTGTGGCATGTGAAAAAAAAGGCAGAAGTCAATGTGTTAAGGTATAAATTTTGGCTAATTTTAACCAGTAAGTGTGGATGATCAAAGCACCCACCATTATACTTTTTATGTATTATTTTATTTTCATTTGTTTTACATAAATTTTTTGGTTCGTGTATAATAAGAATGTGTTGAAATCATTTTCTAAGAATTAGGAACGAACGTAGTACTTCCTAATGTCTAATGCCTGTGTCATATCCACAGGGAGGAGGAGCAGGACGGGAGTGCATGGCCCATCCCGAGGCAACAGACATCATCACAACCAGCCTACTCTCGGCCGGAATCCTCCACGAGGAAGAGGATGCAGTCTCCCCATCAGCCAAGAAGTCTCCTGGGCCCAAACGACTTAAAGGTTATGAGTCATTTTGCCATTATGTTTTGATCATGTGCATTTGAATGGTCAATTTCATTGGTTTACATGTGATGATATAGATATTTTGTAGATGCTTGGTACATGATTTGGTTTTTCCAGAGTGTAAGATTGTTTTTGCATCAAAATGCTTGAAAACTATGAGGGACACAATTTAAAATTCTGTTTGCCTTATTTCTCATTAAATGTAGTAGGTTTTCTTAATTGTTTTGTTAATGCATGTGCATCCAACATATTGATCAGTGTCTAATGTTTTTTTTATCTTGGTAAGACTGAAAGTTTTCTAGGACTTGTAAGAACACATTTGAGGTAATCTTGGCAGTAATGATATGTGTACATTTTTGTGAATGAATGTTATTTGACCCTGTGCCTCATCTTGGGATAATATGAATCTCATGAGAATTTGAGAGGAATTAGCATGTTTATGCAATTCAGTATTGATCTGTTCTATTCCAATTAAGTTTTTATTCATGCCCCACCATAACAGTGCTTACTGCATTTTTTTGATTCTGAATTCTTAATGCTTACTGGGGCTTAATGCTTACTAATGCTTAATGACTTGCAGAAATCACTTTTTATCTTATATGGCAATTGCTTAGAATGCAAATATCATTTTCACTTTGTTTCATTTCTGTGCAATTCTTTCAAATTTGCTCTGCATTTCAAACTAAAAGTATATTCAAGAAGCTTTGCATTAATTCAAAATTAACTCAGTGACTAGAAGAGTGGTGATATCATCTTGAATTTCTTTTCTTTGTGCATATTGCAGAGGGGAGAAAAGCAAAAGGAGAGGGGAGCCAGGATAAGAAAACCGCAAAGGCTAAGAATGAGGTCTGTCATTCTTTCTCCTTTTCTTCAAGGTGTTGTCAAGCATGTGTTGAGCAGAGAAAAAAATGTATATCTGTGTAAAGCTTTCTAGTAACATGCTTGTGAACGGTAGCCCTTCACATTGCAAATATCCATAATTATTCATGTGCTATATTATAGGAGATTATTGTTGAACAATTGAGGTGAATGTGAATTCAATCTAAATGTATTCTTGGCAATTCATGTTCATTTTTTGAAGGTACTATTGTTATTAACCTATCCAGTTAACATACCTATCCAACATCAACCATGAAAAATATGTTATCCTAATAAATGAAATATCCGAAAAATATTTTATCTTTCCTTACAGATAACTTCTGGATACATACCAGCATGTCTGACTGTTTCAAATGGTGTTTCAACAACTTGTAGTTATTGTTCTAGGTCTTGATTTCAATTACTCTTGGAAAAGAGTATTTCCATCCATATGTTGTCACTCCTTATATTTCTTTTTTTTATGATATTTTTATTTTTCAGGACCAGTTACTTTGTGGATCTTGCAAGAAGGTCTGGATGAGCTTAGAGAGCTTCCTGAAGCACAAGCAGGATGGGTGCTCGGGTAAAGACGAGCGGGGAGCGGAGGAAGTGAAGGAGAAGGACTCCGATCTCTCTGATGGAGAGTACAAGGTGGAGAAGATCCGTTCCAAACGCTTCAACACTCGCCTCGGAGAGTGGGAGTACCTCCTCAAGTGGGTCGGGTTTTCTGACGCCGAGAACACGTGGGAACCCCTGTCGAATCTCGACTGCCCTGACATCCTGGAAGAATTTGAGCTCGATTGGGAGCAGCGGTCACAGCCGGTCCCCCAGCCCGAGCCCGACCCAGTGGATCGCAAACGCAAGCGTACGGACCACCATGCCGAGTTCGATGCAGACTTCTCTGAGGACTTCGTTCCCGGGCGGAGTGGAGCCAAGAAGCGGCGTGGGGGGAGTGCAACTCGGGGGCGTGGGAGGGGCATTGCAAGACCGGGCTTAAAACTCGATGGTACCCCACGGAAGAAGCCCGGTCGGAAGCGCAAGTCGGAGCTGCAGAAGGAAGAGGAATCCAATCGCTCAACTGAAATGGAGGAAGATTCAGAGGAAGAGAGAAAGGAATTGTCTGATGAAGTGTCTGGTGTGCGTTCCAGTAAGGTGCGGGCACGGTCTCTCGTCCAGATGTGGACTGGAAAAAAAGGTTTGGTGGCTGAGGAAGCAATAAAAGAGGAATCTAAGCTTAAAGCAGTTGATGACTCTGAAGTCATGGGTGAAGCTGGGCCATCCCGAGTGGATGATGCTCTTGCAGGCGAAGAGGATGAGGAGAACAAGTTGGAAGAAAAGGATAGCAACCTGGAGGACATTCTTTCATCACTGCCATCCGACATCATGGTCGAGAAGCATGATGAACCCTCCAAGAAGAAGGTCCGAATGAAGTCCACTGGCCGGGGTCGTGGGCGTGGCTATTTCTGGGGAAGGGGACGCGGTCGTCCACCCACATATGGCCGCACACCTAACATTCGCCGAATTCCAGACTACCTCGAGCTGGTTCCAGTCACCATGGCCGATGGGTATACCATTGAATACCGCCTGATGCCAAAGAAGCAGGCTGAGAAAATCCGAAAATCCCATCAGAAGCCTACCTCCGAGATAAAGTGGCCCGTTGCAATTCGTCGCCCTCCAGAACCTGCAGAACAGTCACCTGAATCCCAGAATGAGGACTCCTTAATGCCACAGGAAATGCTAGACGAGAACGAGGCCGTGGAGATTGCTATTATCGACAAGGGTCAGCTGCAGTTACATCGTCTGGAAGCGAGCGAGACCTCGCCTGGTGCTCAAGGAGCAAACACCACAGTCACTATGGCCCAAAAGGCACCCATTGCCTCAGTACTGGGTCCAGAAGAAGGCTCATCCATTGATCTGCCCTTGAATGTGAGTGAGTCCAAGGACAAGACTGTGATCCAGTCGCTGGTTGCCGGTACCGAGGGCGGTGGGAAGTTCCTTCTTGCCCAGGATGGTGATGATTCGGGCAAGCAGATCATCATCATCAGCGAGAATGCCGACATCTCCAGTCTGGTTCGTAAGAGCCCAGGCATGACCAACGGTGAAGAGCTTGATGGAGTTGAAGCACCTGACAGCAACAACACCACGGCGACCTACATCCTCGACAGTGGGAAGCCAGGTGTGGCCTCCCCCACAGACAATGAAGGCAGCAATGCTACTGGTGGTCAGGAGTCTCAGGTGGTTGCGGGTGAGGATGAGAACGAGATGGTGTTCCTTGCTCAGGATGAGAGTGGGAATTACATTGCCCTCTCGGCTGAAGAATTCCGTGCTGCTCAAGTGAGTTTCCTTCTAGATGGAAACATGATGTAAATGATGAAGGATATTATCATTGATTTGGGTTGCTTTTTGCATGCTGATGTGTAAGTATTATTATTGAAATTATTACCTCTAAATTAGTCTTGCGTAGAATGTGATTCCTTTGAAGATGTTACTTGTAGTGGGCGCTTGTTAATTTCCTTGCATTAGACTATGGGGAGTAGAAAGTAGAATGTGAATGCTGCTGCAGGACTCCATGGTGGAAAAGTCTGAAGAAACATTAAGCAAAGAGGTGACGTTGATTCCTATTGCTTCATCAGCTATTACCTTGGAAGCAATGAATTTGACATACTTTATTCAAAGGCCAGTTTGCTAGACCTACTGAAAAGCTTTTGTAAATCTTTTCAATGCACCTTAAAGAAGTCATCACTTCAACCTATTTTGTACATAATTGTGTCACATTTTGATATATATATTTTCTCTGTGCACCACCAGCCTCATCACATAAGCAAATGTTTCTGAGAAAATCATGGAGGACAAATTTGTGATCTACATTATTAAGGAATCTATGGGATGCTTGTAAAGAGACTGAAAGGTATATTCAGGCAATATGAAGCTCTTTTCCCTAAAATCCTTTTGAAATTAGTAAGAGGCAAAGGGAGTGCAGCATCACTCAGCAGTTATTTGAAAAGCTAGAGGGAAAAGGACCAGGAGAGGCTATGAACTGAGTAGAATGAACTATGCAGGATTAACATGTATTTTATTCTTTTGTTTTTCACATCTGCCCTTTTTGCTCCTGACTGTTTTTATTAAAACTTAAATATGTCTCACTAAGTCCTCATCCTTGAGCTGTGTCATGGGGAAAAGGCATGAAAGGCAAATTATATTAATGTTCTGCAAATAAAATGTGACATAATGGTTACCCGTAGAAGTAATTTTAATTTAAAAGTTATTCTGTGTGATATGGATGGTATGGTGCTGTAGCAGAAACAGCTCTCAACTACCAGCATCTGCTTCTGCTCCTTTCCCATGTGAAACAGCTATTGAATATTTGCTCAGTATTGTCTTTGTACAGTGAATTCAAGTGAAGTTTTAAATGATTGTTAGAAGCAGAGGAGCCTATTTGCATTACAAGTTTTGTAAGAGTAGTCCCCTTAATAGTAGAGATTTATTTGCTTAAATTTGGGGGTCTTTTTGCCATGCACTATATTTTTTATACCCTCTGACAATCATGATATTTGTCTTGAGACCTATTTGCACCTATTTCTAACATTATTACTGCATTAATCTTACTCTAGAGAGCATTGCTTAAGAAATGGTTTGTGTTTGTTTCTCTGACATCAGGCAATATCTTTTGGCATTTGTATCAGAAAAAGTAAGATATTGGTGCACACTAGTTTAAAATTACATCACATAAACACATTCAACCCCAGTGACTGCAGTACAATATGGGCTTAAAAACATAATATTTTGGTTCAGAGTATCAATGTGTCAAAACTTTGACTATGCACTTAATTTTCAACCAGCCAACATCTCAATCTTGAAACATGGTATTGCCTCTCTCCATTGCACAAGGTGGAAGCATCATCTGAGTGTTTATTTCTCAGGAGGGTGGGCAGCTGGTGATTCAGGGATCGGAGGAGGAGGAGGAAAGGGCCACGGTGGAGGCCGAGGTCCCACCTGCAGACGAAGATGCCAAATCCCAAGACCGAGGAATTGATCTCAAGACCCTGGCCAACTTGGTGGTCCAGTCGGAAGCGAACTCCGTGGCTGGCCCGCAGCCCGAAAGTGTCGAGGCGGAGCGTCCAGAGAAGGGTGATGTAGAGGGTGAGACTGAGGCTCAGGGAGAATCAGAAACCAAGGTGAGATGATTTTATTGCTCTCAATTGAATAATAATTCATATGTAATGTATATAATTTAATTGTGTGCAGTTTGAATGTTTACCCTGAAGTGGCAATGCTATCATAGTGTATAAAATGTGTCCATCCTTTTTAAGAGGAACTGGGATGGAATTAGGTGACTTATTGTGTGTCATTTTATTTCCCTTTCCATATTATTGTGAAGGACTCGGAAGCAAGTATATGGCATTGGGAACCTTTGTATCCTGTAAGAACAAATATCTGTCTTTTAATCAAAGCCCCTAATGACTGGAATGGGTTCATTAAGGAAAATATTCATATCATAAGCATGAATTTCATAGTTGATAAAATGAAAGTGACTTATATATCAGCAAAGTTTTCCAAAATCTTTTTTTGTTGTGAATTTTCAACTTTTCAAGAAAATTTTAGTTCAGGAAATATTTCGGCTTCTCAGAAATGCATCTGGCTTAATTATGGAATAGTTTCATATGTTATCTTTCAAAAATGAATCTAAAATAGTATAGCAATAGAAAATTCAGAGTTTCTAGCATTAATAGCAGTCCTCTCCAGAGTGAAGACTTTCAATATCCATGAACATCCTTTAAAAATAAATGAAGCTGATACAGCAAATTTTTGGATTTTGAGTGCTGGTGTCATATGATCTAAGTTTCTAAGAATGTTTCTGTCTTAAATTCATCCTGTAACTCTTGAATGAGTGATTTTCATTGGGATATTTCCAAATGGTACTATCTTGTGAAAATTTCATTTTTTATTATGTTTTAGAATATAAAACTCTCATTGATGAGCACACGGAGATAGGGGGACATCCAACTGGGATTTTTTCAACATGATATTGGTTATTAATCACATCTGTTGGAACATCCCTTCTCAGCCTTAACATTAATCAGCATCTCATAAGTCATTGTAGGCTTGTTATGCTTTTGTTTGTCCCTGTAATGCATTGTAGCACCAAGAAGTATCGCAATCATTTAGCCGATTTGCAGTTTTTATGCAAAAACTCTGCATGTGAACCCTTCATCATTTGTAGGGATTTATTTTGACTGTTTTGGAAATGATTAATATTTAATATTTATGATGATCAGAAAAAAAATGGCAAAGAAAACCTTTAATTCTGCTTTTTCCAATTGCTGGGGGAAGTTCTAAAGTAAATTGGACAGTATCTGAACAATATTTAATGTGGGATGGAATGAAATATGGGACAGTACAATTGATTGATATTAAATGGCAGAATTTATAATTAATATCTTATGCAAGTACCCCTTACATATGTAAGTGAAGATTGTTGTGGTTTGAATGAAGACTTTTATGTATCATAATTTCACTTGCTTCTTTCATGAATGAATGGTTGAAGAATCCTTGTGGTGCTAATCTTATTTAATTTTTTATGCATATTGATTTTTAATTACTGGTTGAATTATTTGACAGCAAGTGCTCCTGATGCTGCCCGATGGCCAGATGATCCTCACTGACTTGACAGACGAACAGGTATCCCAGCTGGAAGGCGGGAACATGGTAGACTTCCAGTTGGAGGAAGGGGAAGGAGACAACGCGACCGAAGCGGCCGACCCCGTTGCCGGCCGGGACTGAGCTCCCGACCCTGCGTCGTTTTACGCGAGAGATTACAAAGAAACATGATTTCATCACGGTGTACACTCGTACAATTTCCAGAACTGTTTTGTGTGTTTATGAATGAATGAATGGGTCCTAGTGAAACAAGTGAACTTTTGTTGGAGTTGTGCACCAAGTCTGTTTCACTTTGGGTGCTTTTCTTTACAATATTGTATTGGACTCAATATTTGTGCCTTAGATGAGTGGAGACTCCAGCTAAACAAATGACTAAAATCCCCCAGTATAAAATTAGGTCACTTTCTAAAATTTGGAACTGATGGGCATCATTCAAGTACTGTCAGTCATAAGGACCAATGATTAAGTCAGAAGAGTTTATGCTAAACTAATTGGGTGCCCATGCTAACCCTTTATGTAGGTTTTTTTTTTTCCTTGAGGTACCTTCAAAAACGTATTTCCATGGGGCCTTAAAGCTTTGTCTTGGAGAAAGGCCATTTGAAATGTCACTGCTAAGGTCATCGAAGTGGAAAAGTTCTCCCCTGCCAAGCCATATGCACTCCTTGGAACAAGTCCAACCCCGTTTTGCAGGTGTCATAGATGATGGCTTCTCTGAAGTGATGACAAGATGATTCTATCCGAGTTCCTCCTTGGACTGACCCTAAGTGTTGAAACACTATCACAGTGACAGGAACGAAACGGAACGTTCCTGGTTCTGGATGACAAGACATTTTGCAGACCTATCTGGATTAAGCCACCTTAACCTCCCCCGCCCATACTCGTTGCCAAGCTTTTCGGTTCCGGTTTTATTGCCATGATATATTGAAAATAGCGGTTACTAGCTGTAACCTGCTTGAAGCAGCTCGAAACAGTACTTCGCTTCCCCTATCAAGTATTTATTCTCCCCATGAAAACGTCGTTCAGGTATAGGCCCGCGCCCCTCCTAGTTCAACGGCAGCGATAAAATTACGAAAAAGCTGATGGGATCGGCGACCCTATACTTTCTGTAGGCTATTCCCACAAAAATGGCTACAAATTTATGATTCAATCGATCTTGTCTTCCTAAAGCGATCCGTAACTTTTTCACGTGACAGCATTCCAAATCGCGTTGTTCGTTAAATGGAACTCCATATTCACGATGATTCTGACCTCTAAACAAAAATCTTGAGTGGACGATCGAATGTATTTTCCTCATCTCACAAAAAAAGAACCTGATGTTTATTCGAGATTTTTTCGGCCGGAAGAGTTCCAAGCGAAGTAGTCACCCTGCATAGGCGGATCCATCTCCATGCACAATTCGAAAAACTGAGGATCCAGGTCTTGCATCGGCGTCCCATCCTGGCAGTATGCGTCGACCGCGCTCCCGAGAAATTCTTGGTTCAGTATCAGCCGAGCCAACGGGCATCCACACGGGAACGGATCATCTGAAGTGGACCAGATGGCGATATTTGCACAAATCAAGAACATAATGATTAGTGACCCCATTTCGCTCCATTTTTTTCCGACTCGGTTGCAGCCGAATGCTCAGAGAAATTATCTGAGTTAACATAGAATTTTAAGTACCAGTGTGAGAGCCGCTTTAGGACTCCATGGTTTTCCTAACGGAACTTTGCCGATTTTAAGAAACGTTCAGTGGCAAACGCGGAGTACATGGCAAAGGTATTGTAGGACTCTTGATTTTAAGACCAAAGAAAACCCTGAATCGCCCCACATATCCGCTTCGTTCCCCACTCCTAAAATCACGAATGCGATTTCAATCAGACACGTGTCGTCAGCTCTCCCGGTTCGCGCTAGCTGAGGTTTCTCGCAGATCCGTCTGCATAGTCTGCGACATGAACAATAGGCAGGTGAAACCTTTGAGTCGGATGAATCCATTCCCCTGCGAGACAACTTCCAGGACGGGGCCGAAGGATTCCTCGGGCGGGTCTACGAACGCGTTCTCGGCGAGATTCGGTTTCGTGTCGCTCGTGAGACTTGAAAGCAAGAAGGAACCCTACAGTCGGCCACACGCGTGGCCGAAGATGCGGCCTTGGAATCGTACCCGTGATGGCTCCCGGTTCCAGATTCGAGATTCCGTCATCGTGCAGGTCCACTTCTTCCAGGGCCTCGCTTAAATTTGAATTGCAGGGACCCTTTTCCCAGCGTCGGTCCCAGCTTGCACCTGGAGCAGTTGAATTCCCTCGAGCTTCCCAAGTCGTCGAAGAATCCGCGAGGAAATCCCGATTTGGGATTCCTTTCTAGGGCCAGAAGACATCGTGAAAGGCGGAAAAGAGGTCCTCCGTCGTCACGTCGGGATCCGCGCAGCTCAGAAACATCCAATTGGCTGATTCTTCGTAGTCGCAGGAGCAGATGGAGTCATCGAGGTCGGGGCACGGCAGCTCCCCGACGGTCAGAGCGAGGAGAGACGAGAAGGAGAGCGGATCGGAGCATGGTCTTCGCCCGAGGTGGGACTTCGGGCCTGTGAACGCGACGGTCTGCCTTCCTCTATCGTCGACGCTCTCACGAATGAGAAAAACCGCACGTGACGGTCGACAACGAGGAAAGACCCCGTGCAGTGGACTCACGCGAGAAGACATCAGATCGTAAAATCCATCGCGAGAGAAAACGTCGCGACTCGATTCGCTCATTCGACGTGGATTTCAGCTGGACCATCCCCAACGACCAGATTGCAAATCCAGATATGAAATTCCTAATACTCCGTCTCCCAGCTAATCCCTGAAGCTTCCCGAGACGATTCAAGTTGTGATTCCGCACTCAAAATGATTATTCTCTACTCGTGTTCTCGAACTCTGCTTTGATGCTAATTGGCATCAGTACGGGGTAATTATGGCATACTTATATATTCGTTCCGTCCTCCAGGAAGCTGATAGATTGTTTATTATTAAAATATTCCTTTATCGATTCTCCAATATCCTGGGATAAGGTTACATTCGTCGGTCGGTTGAAAGTAGGACATCTCGCGTTATTCTTCCATTGTATGCGGTGCTGTTAAGACCCCAGCTGGAATATTGCATCCAGTTTTGGAGGCCTACAAATAAGGGCGGTTTGTTGGCGCTCGAGGGAGTACAGAGGAGGGCCACAAGAACGATTAAGGAGGTTAGGGGACTATCATACGAGAAGCGTTTAGAAGTGTTGAGACTGTACTCGCTCGTTCAATGGATTCTGCTCAACAATTCAGCAAGAAATTCATTAGAGAAACTGTCAGTTGCAAGTTGATCACCAATATCAACACAGATATTGACAGGACAGGATTGTAGCAGACCTTCCCTGATCTGGACAGGCAAAAAGGTGGGGGGCAATGCTGACGTAGGTACTAGACAGTAAGCAACTAGGATAGTCAAATGACAAAAAAAAACAAACAAAAAACAAACAAACAAAAATACAAAAATATTTAGCTTCAAGAGGGTTAGGCCTACCCTAAAATTAAGGAACGCTCGACCTTGACACGTGACATCGAAATCGGCGAAATCGCCTCTTGATGTCACTAACTACCTTGAACCTTGAACCTTGAAATGAGTCGATCACGATCATCCGTCGCTAATCACAACGGTCTCTCGTCAAGCAACGTCAATTCGCTCTGTACACAAGTTAAAATTGCATTCTCTTGAGCCTGGCCGCTGCGACGAGGCTCAATTTTTTTCATCGCCTTCGCGCATGATGCCCGCTTCGCTGACGCTCAGCCTGTGCGATTCCTCAAACCGGAGGGGAGCGTGAAATGGTGATCGGTCGCGACTTCGCGGATCGGTAATCAAGGAATGAAGGCCGTAGGTGGAAGACATGAGCAGGTTTTTATATGATTACTGCGGACGGTCACTTTAGAAGGAAATGAATGTCTTAAAGGGAAGCAACTGTATTAATGCGAATTCCAAACTTACATCCTGTCGGATGTTTCTGCAATTAACAATGCCTTTTAAATAAAGCCAGTACTCACGTGATACCATTAGAAATAATAATATATCGATATAAATTTTTCATGATCATAACACATCATGCAAAATTTGTGAGTCAAGCAAGTAAAGAAAAGTGAGAAAATCCAGCAAGAAAAATCAAGCACCAAAACATAACTAGGATGGAAAAGATCCTGGAATCGATGGCAGTCGAATCACGATCACAAGGCAGAGGACGTCTCTCGCAATGGCAAGCGCAGGGTCCCTCGATCTACGTCCGGACGCGACCGTCGGACATCCATCCCACAGGATGACGCCTGCGTGCTGTGGACTGGATGACGCCTGCGCGCTGGGGGGAGCTGGGGGTTTTCCCGTTCTTTCCGACCGTTCTTGATAGATTTGAATGCCCTTGTTTGATAGGTGTTCACGTCATTTTTTGTGACGTTGGATTTGTCAGATATTGGGGGGTTTTGAGTAAGTTAATGTTTGAAGGTGTTTGAGGGTTTGTGCAAGTCCTTACTTTTGACTTCATGTATGTCGTTGTTTGTGAAATCATATTGATGGTAATTTTTTAGTCTTGGCGTGTGGGGCTTTTGTGTTTTGAGGCTTTTGGTTGGTCGCTGTTTGGGGGTATCTGAGGGGTTGGAGAAGTCCTTACTTGTGAATTTGAGTGTATCCTTACTTTTGAGTTTGAGTCTGTCCTTTGTCAATTTAGGCTTGTGGTAATTTTTGGATTTGGGAAGGTGATGGCCTTTGGGCTTGGGAGCATCGTCGTTGGGGAGTGTCTGAAGGTCCGGATTAGTCCTTCCTTTCGATTTTAAGTTTATCTTTATTTGGGAACTCCGGTTTGTCTTCATTTTTGGATTCAAGCGCGTCCTCCTAAGAGTGTATGAAGAGGATATTTTTTGGGGGAGTGTGACAACTTTTCCTGGAGGCCTTTGGTGTTTCGTTCGTTGTGGATTTGAACGGATCCTTTCCCCAGAATTCGAGAAGGCGATGCCTGTGCCAAAGGAGCTAATGAGATCCGCTCCCGAATGTGTGTATGTATAAGGTGGTGGATGAAAATGCCTTAACTTTCTCCTTGCTCCAGTGTAGGCAAGCTGCGGGGGCTCTTCATCGTAAGGATCGACGAAGTAATATTCGTGTCGACTATGAACTGGAACACCTATGTAGTGTGGCTCGTCCAGTCGATTTGTTGACTCACTCGTCAAGTAGTGTCTGTCGATCCGAGAGGGCGGCACGTGGATCCCACCGGATGAGGAAGAGTCGTAGCCCTTTCCGACGTTGGACTTGAAGAGGCAATAGAGGATGATGCAGTCCTTGAGAAGTCCCAGAATGAACAGGAGAGGGCCGAAGCCCGATCCGGAGTTCCCGGAGGTGCCAGGGATTCCCGGTATCCCGTTGACCCCCGCTGGTCCAGCTGGTCCCGCTGGTCCCATTGGTCCCGGAATTCCCTGAGAGCCCTTCGTTCCTTTCATCCCCGGCATCCCCTTCATGCCTTTCATGCCCTTTACTCTTTTCTTTCTCTTTTTATACTTATAATGCTTTGACCCGCCCCTCTCGGATCCTCTCCTTTCCACCTGTTCACCATCTTGACCTGTTATCTGTTGTTGCTCAGTCGTTCCCTTCATCCCAGCACTTCCCTGCTTCTCGTTTTGACTCATTCCCTTTTCTCCTTTCATAACCTTTCCACCCTTCATTTCCTTTTCACCCTTCATCCCCCTTTCACCCTCCATTCCCTTTTCATCCTGCATCCCCTTGTCACCTTTCATTCCCTTTTCATCCTGCATCCCCTTGTCACCTTTCATTCCCTTTTCATCCTGCATCCCCTTGTCACCTTTCATTCCCATTTGATCCTGCATCCCCTTGTCACCTTTCATTCCCTTTTCATCTTGCATCCCCTTGTCACCTTTCATTCCCTTTTCATCCTGCATCCCCTTTTCACCTTTCATTCCCTTTTCATCCTTCATCCCCTTTTCACCTTTCATTCCCTTTTCATCCTGCATCCCCTTTTCACCTTTCATTCCCTTTTCATCCTGCATCCCCTTTTCACCTTTCATTCCCTTTTCATCCTGCATCTTCTTTCCACCCTCCATTCCCTTTTGACCTATCATCGCCTTCTCCCGCATCACCTCCTTTTGTCCCTTCTGAATCTCCTCCTCTTCCGAGTCATTGATTCCCAGTATCCCCTTCACACGTTCCATTCCCATTTGTCTCTTCTGGCGCTTTTGTCCCTTTTGTTGATTTCGTCCCGTCTGATACTTCCTCCCATCCATCCCCTTTTCACCCTTCATCCCCTTTTTGTAAATTCGACCCTTGACCCTTTTTGTCCTGTCGACCTTCTGCATGTCCTTTTCCTTCGTTCTAGCCATATTTTCAATGACCTTCAGACCCTCTTGCCCTATTCTCATAGTCACGATTGATTGACTGAAGCCTGAAAGAGAATGGAAGTATCCGTTGTCATTAAGAGTTAAAGCATCAAACAATAATAAACTTAAATAAATAAACTTAAAATGGATGACAATCCTTTTTCTCGTCACAAGTTAAATACAAACTTCGACGAAGAAAATATAATTACAGTATAAGTTCTTAATGACAAGTATAATAAGTAAGTAATACAGTATAATAATACAGTAGACGCCGTTTATTGTGATCAGATTGGTGCAAGGGAATTTGATAGCATTATGTGGTTGATAACAATTGACGGCGGCAATTGACTTTAAAAATTCCAAACTAAAAAAATGCCGCTTTTTACTCAACCAAATTGATTTTTACTGGTGGAAGTTGTCTTCCAAAGTCCTCTGTATAGAGGTCGCAGTTATGATATCCTCAATTTTCGTCTTCAAATTGTAGAATTAATTAAAATCTTCTGTCGTACTTCCGTCAAGGCTGCACGTGTGCGGCTGAGAGACGCCAATCTCACCGATGGCCCGTCTGCGACTTACCTCTGGGAGCCCGTCGTAGCGTTCCAGAAGAGTCACATGCTCACGAATGTCAATGCTCGTTTTTGGGCCAGGGGGTAAACTGCGGGGCCCAAAAACTACTGAAGTATCCTAAAGGATTAGCGTTGTGCACACGTTATTAAGCGAGTGGAGATGTTCGAGGCCAATTACAGAGCTTTCTTCTTGGCCGAGGGAGAGATCGCACCCCCTTTTCCTTCCCTGAATGCCATACAATTCGGAAACTTAATGTGACCAAACAGTGGTCAGCGTATGCCATAAAAGCAATATCCGGCGACAAATGATAACATAAACCGGAGAAAAATCTATATGAAATATTGAATTGATTTTGATTTTCGCGCATTAGTCACAATATCCGGCTGATAACAATAATTCGTGATCATAATAAGCAGCGTCAACTGAAAATAATAACGAATTTTTGGAGCGATGTCAAATTGGAACACAGCAGGTTGAAGAATTAATAGAAAGGATGCGCTGCCAATAGATTCACAGTCACTGCGGAAAATAATTGTCAGACGATCATTTGGGTTAAGAGGAACGGGAAGAAACATGGCGTGGAGCACTTACGCAGCCAGAGGAAGATGAGAAGCCGCGAAACGTCCGGATCCGGTGCTGAGGCGTCCGGTGTCAACAAGGCATCCGAGGTGTCCAGCTTTCCCAATGGATTTGAAAATTCCAGCAAGGAGAATAAAGTCAACGGAGCTGGTGACAGCCAATTCGATAGGTCCAGTGAGGAAAGCAAATTCGATAGGTCCAGTGAGGAAAGCAAATTCGATAGGTCCAGTGAGGAAAGCAAATTCGATTTTTCTACCGCAGCCTCGCGGTCGTCGCATGCGCTCTCGTTTGCCGACGAAAAATTCGCGAGCAGGACGCTGGAATCAGTAGGCACGAGAAATTCATATTAATTTTTATTCCGAGGAGGTATAACTGAAATGGTATGGTATCAATCAAATGGTATAACTTCACGGTTGCAAACTTTTTTCCACTCACATGGCGAAGCACGGGAAGCGGGGAAACTCCATCGCCTGATTCGTTTTCGTTTCCTCGACCTGAAACTTGCGGGAAAAAGTGAGGAAATTATCTTAGATGTAAATATGATAGATGAGGGATAAATAAAAATAAATGAAAATGGAAAGTGAAAAATAAATAACGGAATGAAATTCGACATTACCGTGTTGCAAAGAAGTGAGAATTCCTTTATCATTTACAATATTATTATTTATACACGTGGTGAAGCGGTAAGAGTGCAGAATGCATTCATTAAACCGAAAAATTAATTTAACTCAATGAGATTTTTTTCGCAATTCCATATTTACTTCTAATGGTGTCTGAGGTGAGACAATAGGAAGTTATTCTGAATGCCGTCGCATTGGCATGAATTCCTGGGATTCGCCTGGATTAAATTTATAAATTAATGTTTTTCATCTGTGTTTTAGTTTTTCTAAATTCTTGGAATATTTACACACTAAGAAATCCCGATTTTGATTTAAATTTAGTGCTAATTCTTGCTTCCATAAAAAAATAATGCATTCGGTTTGGAGGGAAAAAACTCCCTATGGCAGAAATTTTAAAAATGTATTGATAAAAACTTCGCCAAGATTCATGCCTGTTCGCTAACGGTTTTGAAACACGTTCATTTTCTTAAATAAATAAAAAAAAACAATTTAAAATTTTAAAAAGCGTTCGCTATTGGCGGGGATCCCGTAAGTTTTGCTTTAATAATAAGTTCTGGCAATTAGTAGCATGCAACGAAAGTAAGGCGTCACAGAGGAATCCGATTCGGCTTTGTTTCAGCATTCGCCGGAGCTCAACGACACTTTTCCTGGCTCGGTTGAGGGCGAAAATAGACGCTTGACCGGTGGGGTCACTTTCCAATAAGGGCGGGGGCACTGAATTTTGGGCAGATTATCGCGCGAATCCCTTTGCGCTTGAGCGCTGTAATTTGTGACTTTCTAAAGAGTCAAGGGGACGTTCGCGAATTTCCTGGAGCGAATGCATGCCTTGGCCGATATAGTTCACTTCATTCCACGTTCCGTTTCCTGATGGTCTTAATATGTATTAAAAATCACGCAAATAATCTTAAGAATTACCAGAAAACTGAATTTTTTCAACTTATTATTTCACGAAAGGAGTGGGCGAATCGAGGAAGGACTCACGGGAATCGGACCGGAGAGGAGGGTGGGAACCCCACACGGAGCACGCCTTCCCCCGACACTGGGGACGGCGGGGCTGGGCTCCACCTTGTGCGGCGGGAAGACGGAAGTCTGAAGGGTGGAAGTCGGAAGGTGGATGTCATCGCTTCGGTGACTTCCATCTTCCCGTGACCGGGAAGACGTCGCTCTGGATCCATGTGGAGGATGAGGCCTCATCAGCGAGGCGCAATTGGAATCCTCCCATCAGCGTGTAATGCGTGGGAGCGCTTCCCCATCCGCAAGGAAGTGTCCTTGGGAGTTTAATTCCCGTAAGAAAAGAAAAGTTCGTTTCCGGAGTTAACAGGACTCGTGTGGAAGCGATTCCTAAATATTTAAGACAGGAATGATGGTTTTTGTCCATGGTTAATCAGTTGTTCCTCGTTCTCGAATGGCGGGCCGATTTCAATTCGACTGAAGTGCCCCATTATCCAATGTCAAACCTAATTAGCAATGCGGGAATTTTAAATTCGGAGATTCTTCTGGGCAATATTGGACAAATTGGGAACCATTGGGACCGGGATCAGAAGTCGTTCAAGCCAATACCGAGATTTGGACGAAATTCTTTGATGGCGACGAAACACTTCTTTGTCGCGGTCGATGGCGAAAATGATGAGTTTCCCGGCATCAGACCTTTTAATTTCCTTCAAGGATCATTTCTTGCCAGCCATTGACATTATTATTCCACTCTCCGAGATCTATCTTACGAAACTCGCGACACCAGTGGACAAATAAAAAAAAAGGAGTAAAGCGGAAACAGGAGCAATTGAGACCCAGTATTTGGATTGGATGGGCTGAAACGTTTGAAGCCGAGGGAAACATGCTTCAAATATGAATCGCCCCGTATCACCAGGAGCGCAAGTGTGTCGCTGAATCAAAGTACTTGAAAGTAGTATCTGAAAGTACTAGTACAAGCTCCTTTGCTCTGCACAGAAATTGGAAACGAAGTAGGGGGTGGGTGGATGGAAGGGGAGGTAGGAATATCTCACGCTTTCCGATGCGAAATAAAGGGAGAGTGTGAAGGAAAATGAAAATCCTCAACCTTTTTTTCGTCCTTGGCCCGCATTCCACGGACTGAGAAAGTCGTCACGCGTGGGATACCCCTTTCTTTTTTTTTTAATGGCCGGAAGGTGATGATAGCAATTGATCGAAATGGGCTGGGGGGAAAGAAGGTGGCAAATCTTCATTAGTTTCTCAAAATATGGGAGGTTTACATTATTTCATACCATTTTATTGTCACCATTCTAATGACGGTTTGAAGTGCACGGTATAATCAAGCCATTTTTTTACCTCTGGAAATTGATTTGTCTCACGTCAAATATCGCCTTCGCTCAGAAGTTACAGGATTCAAAATAATGCCCTCTTTAAAAAAAAAAGAGGGGAAATGCCAATGACCATTGAGGTCGCCAACAGAAAACAGAGATGCCTATCTCATCCCTCGATCAGCGACCGATGAAGTTCGACGAATTGAGCAATTGGCAGTTTTCATTCGGTGAATTGAGCATTCGAATCGAACCGTCGGTGGGCTTTCACTTGATAAAGATTACCCCTGGGGTTGCGGCACAAGACGGTTTAGATGCGGTTATGCAGAATGTGCGGTGTTGATCACATGGCAAGGAACCGTAGGAGGGGCTACGGATACGCAAAGAGATGGGAAATACCAAGGATAAATAAACATTTGTAGTTACCATATATCCAATCGTCCTGCAGGTGAATATATGAATGGAATGCCACCGGAATTAAATTTATTTATCAACAATGGAATCAGGTAAATTATGAATATGTGAGGTGATGAAGGGGATTTTGTTTGACGTGAAGATGTAACCCATTTGAACAATGTCTACATAATTGCGTCTTCGACTTCAGCACCTGCAAGATAAGAAATATCTTTGACAACGGGCCTACATACATTCCAAGTATATTCAGGGTGACGATTTTCAGGGATCTTCTCTCGGTTGATAAATGCAAGAATATGTGTTTTGCACAGAATACTTTACTGCTTTTTCCAAACAATTTCACAAGAAATTTTTCCTAGACGCAGCCTTGGGTTTTTCCTGTTCAACAATCTTTTATTAATCCAATCCCAAACTTATTCTCGCACTTTCAAAGGTTAAAAGCTTCTCGTTAAGCATATTGCTCACCTGAGCGAAATTTCTTCTATAGAATTGATGTGTTTTGATAGTGACAGCCATTGGGGATATTGGGTAGGTTCCCTTGGTTTGAGAAACCACGGCCCAAACAGCATGTTTATGTTAATTTTACGTAAAATTAATGTAAATTTTTTGTCCATTTTATATCCTTTTTATGCAAACCATTGCCAAGAATATGTCAACATGTTTGCAGAAATGTCACCCCTGTGATACGTAAACGGTTATATAAAATTAACGTAAATTTTACGTAAAATTGACATTCCCGTTTGCATTCCAAACAGCATGTTTACATTCATTTTACGTAAGATTTACGTTAATTTTCCCATGACATTCATGCTTATTCAAAGAGTCAATCTGTACCATTGAAGAGGATTGATATACTGAATCTTCTATTCCTTTACGTTCTTCAGAACTCCAGGGTGGTTGGACGAGTGCACGAGTACTCATCCTCACCAGCACCCAAGAGTACTATAGTGACCTACTGCTTCCTCCTCCCGTACCGGAAACTCGGAAAGAGGAGTAGTTTTTCAAAGGTGCTCTCTTCCTTTTAGAAGAGAGATGTAATACTTGGGAGCTGGCATTCTACTACTTCCCTAATCCCGTGCATTGCTGTGATAAAAAGCTTAACTTCAGCATTTAATGATTCCCTGAGTCATATATTATTTAAAACATGTAATAATTTCATGTTTTCCATATATATATATTTAGATTGCATAATAAAAAGTAGAAGGATGGTAAGAAAACCTGATACTATATCGGGAAAACCAGTACTTAATAGTAATTGTAGGATGCAGGGAACAAGGTGTCCATCTAGTGAGGAATCTTGTTACTGCAACTGCAGGATGCTCAGCTAAAGTTTCATATAGATGGTGTGGGGTTCATTTTTCATGAACTTGATATCATGTACCTCACGTCAGATGGAGTGATATCTAGTTGATGTAAAATACACGTACACTTTGGTGATGTTAATATAGGAACGTAAATTTTACATAAATGTGATGTCATTTTCATGGCAATCGCAAAAAATGTTCATATTTTGCAAAAGAAATTAATATCTTGTTTAGGTGAACATGCTGCTTGGGGTGGGGGGTGTACGTCTCCCTCTATTCTGCTCGCACTTTTTTTCCCCGTCGTTGCGACAGTCGGATCTATTTTCAATAACGTAATAGCCCTGGGGTGGCGGTGGTGGGGGGGTGGGGGGGGGGGGGGGGAATTCAGATAAGGGGATGTAATAGCCCTGGGGTGGCGGTGGTGGGGGGGGGGGGGGGGGGGGGAGAATTCAGATAAGTGGACGAAAAAGAAAAAACGATGGAACGAGCGGGAATTACAACTAGGATCTACTGCTTGTTAGTCAAGTATGCTTCCATTAGACTACCGAACCCAAACGTTTATACTATACATCTCCATGCCATCCTCAACACGACCACGAGAGAGAAAGGCATTATACGCATGCCTCCGCCGTTCCCCCTCCGCATATTCATACCTCCGATACCGAATTTTTCGTAGGGACGTGTAAAAGTCACACTTGGAATCCCCGTTCATACCTTGACGAATGATTATTTGCTCGCCAGTGATGAGATCTCCGCCCATATATTTCTCGGGATCCAGAAAAGTATCGTAGGCACGAGCACCCCCGTGTGTAGGGGGGGGATGGGGTGGGGGTGCTCAAGACGTACAATATCAGCTGCTGCTACGCAGAGCGTTAATGGAGCCGCTGACAGAACTCGTGAATATCGGAATATACGACACGGTTACCCTCTCATTCTCGAGAACGGGTGGTGCTGCTTTATATCGTTGAGAGTTTTAGGGCTGCTGACTGAGCTTGGGCCCAGAAACAGTTTATGGAAGACACCCGCGGATTGGGGTGTCCGTCTCACGCTCGCGCTTTATCTCCGGCCTTCGCAACAGTCGGATCCGTTCTTGAGAATGGGAGAGAAAGTCATTGTAGGACTTGCGGCCCCCCCCCCCCCATAACTAAGGCATGTTCACTCTTCGAAGTGAGCTTTCATGCAGGAAACCCCCCGTACAATACTTCGATTCCCGTTTTCCTCTGTGCGAAGGAGAGTAACTCTAGAGTGTGAAAGCGGCAAGATCCCAACACGGTGGGACAGAACAAGATGGCTTATTCATAGATCGCAAGGGTGCTGCCGGTTGGGTCGTTACCATCCCGTATCCATATTCGTATATTTCACTCATAGGCTTGCACGCAAAGTGAAGGAGCGAATATTTACAGGACAGGGTCAATAGGGAAAAGTGCCGATAAATGTAGGGCGAAGATCTCACCCCGGCAAGGAAGTCACCTTCCCTTCCACGGGATAAAAGGGGACTCCAAGAGTTGTACGTGGGGACACGTAAATAATGGGAAAGAGGGGCTGCTGCCTATAGCGATGAGAAGGCCGCTGACTTTTCAGGCCGCCGAATGAACTCGGGATTTCTTGCTGAAGGAGTACATGGAAGTCTTCCATGGGTCGGCTAGTACTAATTACAAGGTGTTCATAAAAAACGTGCACTTTTGAAGTTCGATATTTACGGAACGGTATGGCATAAAACAGTGATATTTTAGGGGGATACTCAGGGGGTCATGTGATCTTATTTGAGACTGTTTTGCAAAAAATTTAAAATTTAATAATTCATTTTATAATTTTATTTTACTTTTATCTTTTAGTAAAACTTATCTGATATAGCCAAATGTCACAATACCTGTACTAGCTACACAAAAAGTTTAATATGTTCTAGCGAATTGTGTAAATCCAGTCTCCAAGACTTAGCTATTCGGAATAATACAGTACAACATCTATTGCAGGTGAAGGTGGGAAAGAATTTGCATTTTACTTTGGGAAGATTGAAATATCAGTCAGAAGGTAAGTCTGTGGATATGGTGAGAAACTTTATTTTCTTGGCATTTAATACTAGTGGCTGATAAATTGCTGCAAACCGGAGGAAGCGAAGTGCTTTGCCGTCGTCGAAGGAGTTACCATTATCGTTAGTAACTACCTCCCCATTAGCACCCA